CTCTCTCTCTCTCTCTCTCTCTCTCTCTCTCTCTCTCTCTCTCTCTCTCTCTCTCTCTCTCTCTCTCTCTCTCTCTCTCTCTCTCTCTTCTTGAAGATCTTGACTCTGGATACATCCGCTTCTACTCAGCTCTATCCCCTACTGCTAGCTGTGCGGCTATGGCCGCCTTCCTTCCTCAGCCCAGCGCTAGCTTCCCGCAGATAGCGCAAAAGTGCCAGCAGCACTTCCACACTTCTTGTGAATGTGGCTGGCCAGTCCTTATATTGACTTGGACTGAGCCTGGACTCGTCCCAGCCTCTGCTTCCTTTGGCTTGACCTGGACACGGTACCACATGCCCACGGCCTGTTTGCTTCAGAATGCCGAGGCCTGGTACCTCCCTGAATTTCCCTTGGTGTGCTGCTGCTTGGGCCTGTGAGTCACGACTTTTCATCTGTGGGACGCGAATCTCCGTCTATGAGACATGACCACTGCCTGTACAATATGCCTCTTGACTTCGAGATGTGACTCTTGCCTGTGGGACATGGCTTTTGCCTGGCGAAGTGCCCTTTGCCTGTGGGATGTGACCTTTCACCGTGAGACGTGACTTTTGCTTATGGGATGCACCCTTTGCCTCTGGGATGTGACTTTTCACCGGGTGCCTGTTGCACCTGACCTCTGGGAGTCTGGGGCACCTGACTTAGCCTTTCTGAAACTGGCCGGCTCGGCCCCCTTTATTTAGCCTGGGGACCTGACCCTGAGATTCGAATTTGGGGTCCGCATCGTTGAATGCCTTTCATACCTGTACTGCTGGCCCTGGTCTAAGGCCCGGTCCTGGTCTGCCCTTGCTCTAATTCTTGTTCCGGTCCAGTGCATGCAAATAGAAAAATAGAACAAAGTTTTTTTATGCCTGTACTGCTGCTCTGGTCCAAGCCCTGCTCCTGATCCAAGCCCTGCTCCAAGCCCTGGTCCTGATCCAAGCCCTGGTCCTGATCCAAGCCCTGGTCCTGATCCAAGCCCTGGTCCTGATCCAAGCCCTGGTCCAAGCCCTGGTCCTGCTCTGGTCCAAGCCCTGGTGCAAGCCCTGGTCCAAGCCCTGGTCCTGCTCTGGTCCAAGCCCTGGTCCTGATCTGCCCTGGCTCTAAACCTGGTCCTCATTCAACGCATGCTTTTTTTGTCTTTTTTTTTTTCCGGAAAACCTGGTCAGGGCTTGCTAGCAGGAGTGAAACATCCTGTTCGTCATTCAGAGCATGTGAATTGCACAAAGTTTTTATGCCTGTACTGGTGGCCCTGGTTCTCATGCTGGTCTTGGTCCAAGATTGGTGCCATGTTCTTTGCAGTGTCTCCTCCGTTGGCAGTTCTCAGCTGATGATGTTGAGCTTCAATGTGGTATACAGGAACCAGGAGTACCGGACCCGAATGGGACCGAGTTTGCGATACTCAGAGAAGATGCGCCGGAACTCGATGCTACAAATATCGTAGTTGGAAGGTACGCATCGATCCACAAAAATGCATGCCGTTGGGACGAATCACTGTTGTCTGTGATTCTCTAAATTGCTATGAGGCTATAAACTAAGAAGTAAAGTGACGTGACCTGGTCGTCGAGAGGAGAGCGTACAATTCCACTTTCCCGTTGTATGTTTGTCAGCGTTCGAAGCCCATGAAATGGAAGACCATGGAGGAGGAGCTGATAAGAAACCCAAGAAAAGCTGGCCCATGGGAGCCTATAATTCGAGATATTGTCAGTTTAAAACCTCTAATCCTTTTCACCCCTCCCTGCCCAACAGATGTGGCTGGCTATTATATGCATGCGACTTTTGTGAAGGACAGTTCATGAATTCAAATTCTGATGGAATCAGATGCAGACAAAGACAAACAATAGACTTAAACCACAAGTACACGCCCGCAGCCTTTCAGTTCGAAACTTGTCGCCGGAAGAAAAAAGAGGCAGAAACGTCAAACGCTGGGCCCGCTGTTGATAAATTCAATCAGCGGCCGCGTTTTCGTTTCGCACCTCCAGAATTTGAGGTGTCAGAACCCGCGACCCAGGTGCCCATGTACTGGTGCTTTAAACCGCCAGTACACGGCCCCAGCCTTGCTGAAAAAAAAAATCGTCGCCTATCTGGAAAGGTCGGTGCCAGCGCACCGTCGATATAAGAAATCGGCGGTCGGCGTCTCTTTTCGGTCCCTGACACGGCCCCGCGGCCGATGTGAGGCATGTACTGGTGGTTTAAACCACCAGTATGTCCGAGCCTCTTCTTCCGGACGCCAATTTCTGCCACGTGCCTGGGCATGAAATTGCAGCTTTTTGTTTGGTGCCGCCAACCGTTTCCGTTCGACGGCCTGATCCCCGAAGGACGCGGCGTGGCACTAACCGCCGTGGCACTAACCGCCGTGCCGGGGCGGGCGGGGCTATGGCGGGAGAGAGGAGGGAGGACTTTGGCGGGAGGAAGGAGGAAGGACTATGGCGGGAGGAAGGAGGGAGGACTATGGCGGGAGGAAGGAGGGAGGAGGGGGGA